CTTCAGCCGGAGGATCAGGTTGTCGAGGTAGATCTCGCAGCTGCGACAAGCGTTACTTCTATGGCCTCGAGCCAAAGCGCGAACGAGAACAAAGTTTCCCAGCTGAAGGATCAAAAGATCGTTGCGGTGTCTCCTCAGTCAGTGAACAGTTCCGGTGCCTCTGACAGCATGGAAGTAGATTCGACTGGCATTTCCATGGGCGCGGAACCCTCTGGAGCCGAGCCAGCTCTTCACTATGATAATGATGGACCCGATTCCCACAAGCACGCTCGTTTGGTAGATGATCGAAGTGCTGTCCTGGTACCCGTGGATGTGAGCCCTTTGATTGTCACCCCCAGAGTGGTGGACGATCTTGACCGGACCATGTACTGTGTTCAAAAGCTCAGGATGCTACTTGAGAAGCACTTGTTGGAGACTACCATCCGCGTATGATTCGCACACATGACCCTATCAAATGACGTGATCTTTGTGGTATTTCTATTCGTTTGACTGCTGCAGCTATTGATCTTGATTTTTCTTTTTTTTTTTTTTTTTTTTTTTTTAATTGAAAAGCGAAAATGTAACAAAAAAAAGGCTGACAACATTGTTTCAGCAATGCGTTGTTTGTTGCGCTTGTTAGAAGGAACGAGAAAGACAGACGCGCAGCATGGTTTTTGATTTTTGTCCATTGGGTTTTGCGCCTTTGCTCTTTCTATTTTCTTTAAAAGGGGGGAAAAAAGCCTAATAAAAAGCACACGCGCAAAGCTAGAGCAATATATGTTCTACTCTTATGATACTCTTATGAAACTCAAATCAGTACTGCTACTTCCAATTTCCTCAGCAGTAGAAACCAAGACTCAACTTAAGCCTTTAATACTAGGACGACTATATAACGGTTATAGCAATCGTTGAGAATAGCAATGAAACGGAATAATAAGGGGATCGGAAGTCCAATGTCTTGATGGGGAAGAATAATTTCAGAAAATGGTATATAGGCGACGTTGATGTGCATTTCTTTTAGATTCCTCTTTTGCAGCCTCACTATACAAACTCGTTTTCATATTACAGTACAGGCCATAAGTCCTTTCACACTCCGCCCTTATATAATCTAGATGGTTAACCTGCGGCACTCGAAAATGGATGTGGGTTCCCAGTAGTATGAGACAATTACAACGCAGGCATCAATGTCAGTGTCTATGTTTATTTGATCTATTGAGACCATCTCAACTGGTAACGGACACCGCCTGGGACCTAGTATCTAGATTTATTCTACTACCACGGCACAAAATATAGAGACAGATATAGTAAATTAAGTAGAGCCACCCATATGTTGAACAGACCCTCGAGAAAGGATCCAAAATAGAACTATTTTCCAGGCATGTGCAGATAATCCCAAATCATTACCATATTAGCGGTAGATCGCAGCAGAAAGAAATCAGAATGTTTGACCAGAAGCGGCCAGAAACGCCGAGCAGGTATATAGCATAAAAAATAATCTTGAGTGTGCGTATGCGTATGCGTATGCGTGCGCAATGGGACATTGGACCATCACTAGATGAAAAAAAGAAAAGAAAAAAGAAAACACGAAAGGTATAAGATCCAAGAGTAGTTCATTAGGTGATTTGTTCAAGGTTCAGTCAGAGACAGACACGAAGCGAAAGATGCAGAGCCAAAATGTACTTGATACGGGATGTGAAAGGCATTGCAAGAAGAATTGAAGAAGCGAAGAAAAAGATCCAGAAAGAAAAAGCCAAAGCCAAAAACCGGCGCTCAGTATGGACAATAAATTTACAGCGTCACCAGGCCGACAATGGCGACCAGGACGGCGAAGAGCGATCCACGAAGGACGTGCTCGCTCTGGCTGGCAGCACTGTTGCCCTGGGTGGCATCTGTGCCCTGGGAGAAGCCGGAAGAGGTGGTAGTTTCCGAGCCGGAGGAGGTGGAGGTGCCAGTAGACGAGGAGTCCGCGCTCGAGCTCGAGTTGGAGTTGGACATACCGCCGGAGCCACCGTTGGAGGTAGGGATGCTGTTGGCAGCGGAGCTGGTGCCAGAAGTGCTGGAGCTTTCGGCACCGAGATCCATGTCGAGGCCAGTGGCGCCAAGGGAGCCGAGGACGGTGTCGTTGCCGGTGATAGCAACGTCACTCTCCATGGCGGCAGAGTTGGTGTAGATGTAGGATTTGTCACCGGTCTTCTTGACATCGGAGGGGGCGTCGTAGCACTTCACGCTGACCTCGCCGACGGTGGCGTAGTCGTAGCCCTTGTCCTGGATGTCCTCGCTGTTCCAGTCGATGGGACCACCAGCCCAGTCGATTGTGCCCTGGGCGTTGCTGGCCTGGCCGGCGGGCCAGAGGGACATCTGGAGGCGGGAGGGAGTCTGGGGGAACTGGAACTGCTTGGAGGTCTCGTTGTAGGTGTCGGCCTTCTTCAGGGTGCGCTGAACGGAACCATCGACGATCCAGTCCACCTTCTCAGGGGTCCAGTCGATCTCGTAGGTGTGCCAATCGTTGAAGGTATCACCGCCATTCACGGAGATGTTACCGCTGTTGTGCCAGTCAAGAACACCCTGCCAGTAGTAGTTGGTCTGGACGTTAGTCAGGTCGGCACCGACCCACTCGTAGTCGATCTCGTCCTTGACATCGGACAGCAGAATGAAAGCAGTCACAACACCCTTGCCACGGCTGCTCTTGATCTTTCCGGAGATCTTACCGTACCAGATGTAGTGGTTGTTGGCGAACAGAGTACCGACGCTGTTCTTGGGCATGGTCATGATCAGGTTGCCATCCTCGGTCTTGGGCTTGCCGCTGTAAGTCCAGTCGGCAGCGCTGGCATTACCGAGGTACTTGTCCTGGGAAACGGCATTGTCGAGGTTCTCCCAGGTGTAGGTCTTCTCCTCACAAACGGGCATAGGCGCGCAGGAGTCGAGCGAGTAAGAGGCAAGAGGGTCGCATCCGCCGAGACAGTAGGCACCGGTGCCGCACTCGCCATATTCTGTATAAGTCAGCGACCAGTTTGCGATTGCGATCTGACACGAGTCACTCACGGGAGCAGCAGGGGTATGTCTCGTCGGTACACTGGCTGCTGGAGCTGCACTTCTGGGCACCGAGGGCGGTGACCGACAGCGAAGCCAGGACCAGTGGTGTCAAAAAGCGAACCATGATTATTATGTACTGTTGGTATGTACAGCCGAAATGACAGAATTTACTCGAAGGATTTCAATCCAAGCCACAGGTGAAATGAGTGGACTGTGGAGCAAGGGGGGAGGGCGGATAATAACAATCAGTTTATATAAACGAAAGACAGCAAGTGAAGAACAAATCTATCACTGCGAAAGAGGTGGCGAGAATAACGAAAGCAGAGAGATCTCGAAAACGGAGAGAGGGGGGGACGTGGTTAATATAATTCAATAGAATGGGATGTGAACAACCAAGGAACAGAGCACACGCTAACCTGATTGGGCACAACTCCGACCAAACAGGAAAGGTGGAAAAGGCAAAAGGGTCTTTTTTTGTGGGGAATTGGAGCGTATCGGGGTTTCCCGTCTGTGCTCTTCTTGTACTCCCCTGAAATCTAAATGTCCGTTACTATGCAATTAGGGTTCGCTATGGTATGGTGGTGAGAGATAAGGTCGTCGTCATCCCCTAAATCTCGATATTAATATCTCGTTTTCTTAGTGTACAGTAGTCAAATTAGACCAAGACACCGTTAAGTGAGACATCAGGCATCTCCCCAGGTGTTTGTGGTGAGATAACGGAAATTGGTATGGTACTGTAAAGCCACTAGCGTCTGACCGCTGGGCACCCTGAAAACACCTTCCCCCTTCGATCTTCATGGGGTTGACATTGATCGACATCGGTGCATGTTCATGTTCTTTCACTTCTTAACTTATCTTACACTTTCCACTTTCCACCTTGCACTTTACTGTGTAGAATACTGTACGGACCAGCAACTGAACCGGACTCCGTCCTTACTCCACAGGCGCTTGGGACCGAATCGCCACGCCAAGCTAAACTCTTCTGGTCAAGGGCTGACTGGGACAAAGAGAAAAAAGAATCCCAATTTTCAATACTCATTTACCCGAGCACCCACAGAGCTAGGCCTCCCACAAATAACAAGCTCCAAGACCATGCCACGCCTGCCAATCCCTGGGCGCCAAACTCCTCTAGTAACAATTCGGTCGCTTTAAGGACTCACGGCACCGAACATCCGTGTTCCTATTCTACCTTGTGAACTTCGCGCCGCCCGCGCCCCCTGTATCTGCCGATCACGAGTGCTCAACCTTATCCTAGTATAGTTACGGGCATTTGGTGCATAGATCGACTCCAGTGCTCGTTCTCGTCTATAAGGGATTGATAAGCGATAAGCGTATCCGGTGCTTTCGGAGGGTTTTACAGGCTTGCGTTCAGAAGTATGTTTCTAGAAGGAATGTGGCGGTCCTGGATCTACAGATATACATCATCGGATCTTGTTTACTTTGATGTTTACGTCCAGGTCAGCCAAGGAATGTAAGGAGGGATTAGATTATTGGCTGTTTCTTGATTTCATCACATTGGGCATTGTCTGCAGACGTGGTCGCGATTCCAAACAAGCAAGGCACGTTTTATTCAATTGACTTGTCCACGGCCGATTACCTATTCCGGATTAGTACTTCTATTTTTGCGTTGTCTTTTAGTGAATCAGTTTGCAAGGGATATCAAGGTCATTCAGAGTTGCATGATTCGTTCGATTGCAACGATGGTCAAGCTGTGGAGTGGATACATTCGTTGAGATTGCTCAGAAACTCGATAACACACTCTTGTAACCAGCAGAGAGGTAGAAAAGTTGTCGCTCGGCTATCGTAAAAGTTTAGGTAACAGCTTGGATGCCACTTTCCACTTCAATTGCAATTTGTGAAAATGATTTAGGCTAGAGAACTGAAATCAAGTTTTCGTGTCTTCCAATTGCAGCCTTGATTTCGTGTGGAGCTATACCTACGTCCATTGCCCTCTTATATGGCCTAGCGAATCTATAAAAAGTTTTCGCTCAAAACTCTCCAGGTCCCTTCCCAAAGTATCCACCTTTGGGGACAGTCAACCAAGGGACGGAATTCGCATCGTCGGTATTAGATCCCACAGTGTTTCCCCACCAGTTGAAAGCGATAGAGTGATATCCAAGCGCGAAAAAGATAATGATGGTCGCAATAGCTGTTCCGGTATCCATGGCAGCTTGCAGTAAATCTACGTACACAACGGGTCAATTGTTTTTCTTCAAGGGATAGGCTTGGAAGTCAAGCACTCACAATTGTAGCGCTTCCACCAGTCAAAGGCGCGCTTGCGGATCAAGTAGTTGAAGATAAAGCCGACTATGAACCAAAGAGAGTATTGGGCTATTTGGTTAGAGCTTTCATATACACTGCAACGGTGTCGAGGACATACTGGTGTTGGCAGGTGGTATATTACCAGCCGCATTGAAGAAAACTGGCACATTGATGTAGCGGATCCAGCTGTTGGGGTAGCGGCGGTACAGCAGATATACAATGCCAGTAACAATAGGCTAGATAGTTAGTAGAAGAAAACCAGAGATGTGATTCTGAATAACTTACTCCGATGAGGAAAAAGTATACAAGCCCGTTATACACCTGCCCGGACTGGAACATCCGTTGCGGACCAATGGTCCCCCAAATCAAGGACGCATTGTACATGACTTTGGCACCGTTGCATGTGAAGCGTTGCTTGTTCTTTGGCTCGCATAGATCGGTGATGTGCCCCATCATCCATCGTAAGACTGTTGTTTCTTAGTTTTACATCCACATGGAACACCGAATAGACAATCATACCTCCAGTCTGCGTTGCCGTTGCTAGAATACTAGCATATATCTGGCCGAAGAATAGAACGCGCGGGGGAATTTTCTAGACGGTAAGTACACATCGACCAAGGAATGTAAGCAAGATAGAACTCACCATATATTGCCCAAGTTTCAAGTCCTGCGCAAAGTCCATACCATGCTTGACAGCGTTATAACCATAGCACTTCACCATCAAGTTGGCAATTGGCTTTCCAGGCCAAGCATACCCAGCAATCATCTCCGTGATGATATTGAGGAACACGCGCTGGTTGGTTGTACCCTGAAGAATCCCCTCAGGGACCATTAAGAGCACAGCCAGCCCAACGCAAACCACAATAAAGCCCCAGACTGGCAGCTCTGTGTCCCAAAACTTGGTCGTCAAAATTCCCAGCCCAATCGTTACAACAGAGAGAACACCATACCACCATTCCGGGACTTCTTTATAAGCACGCATCAAACGCCGGTGGACATCTTCACCACCATGCTGCGAATTCTTGAGCCGAGCCCAGATCTCGGTGCCGTTGTATAGGTAGGTATGCACCACAATCGCCGTCACTGCAGCGAAGGATAGTCCATAGGTGAGAGAGTAAGACATGGAAATGTACATCGGGGAGTACTCCTTGTACTTGCTCTCGACGAAATTCGAACCTGCGTCGACGACGCGAGATACATTGTATGAGCCACCCGTGTTGTCGAATGTGCCTGATGAAAGGAGTGGAAGGCTGTCTTGTCAGTATATGGTCATTTGCGTATCAAGCTAGGAACTAGGAACTTACTAGGCGCTATACCATACATTCGTATAGTATAGAATCGGTGACAAAAAGAAGTAGAACAGCACGACGACAGCGAAGGCATTGCAGGTGATGTAAAATGGTGTGGTGAGTGGGTGGCCGGCGTAGTTGATCTGTGTCCAATCGAGACTGATGGGTAGTAAGCCCAAGCCGGAATTCATCTGACCAGTCAGTTTTGTTGTAACATCATGCGAAGAAGGGAAAAGAGAGAGGAAAGAAGAAAGATAACAAGAAACTCACCCCAAATAGTGTATTCGCTTTCTGGTTATGAGGCACAATCCAAGTGATGAAAGCAAATGTACTAAGACTCGTCCAAATGTAATCCGGAAACCAGAATGCAGCAAATGCAAAGGCCGTGATGTAAGCAAAAAAGCGATACCGAGTGATTGTCCAGCCATTGGCGGGTTTGCGGCTTTCAGGTTCGTGCAGTGCCCGGAAGAGAACAGTCGAGGATAGCGAAGTAGGCCAGACTAGGGCTGCAGGGTATACAATCCACCGGCGAGCAAGCCCTGTCAGACCGAATCTAAGAATGGTTAGCTACAATACTCGATAATACGGTTAACACGGTCTGTAAAATCCACATACCCTATCATTTGAGTTGTCAACAGGTATAAAAAAGAGAAACCAGCACCAAATTCGCGGTTCCAGTATACAGGGCTAATGATCGCTACCAGGGCGCCCTGGGCATAGGCGGTAGTTGCGCTGATGTTAACACACTGCCGTCAGTGGTTAGATTAGATTCGGGCTACTTTGCTTTTGCCAGTGGTGGAGATTTTGACCCACAATAACAATGAATGCGTGTTCCTTGACAGTGAATTTTCCTGGATTGATGTCAAATGAAAAGACACCCAAAGGGACCCTCCATCTAGGAAGCTTTTCCCACGCTCGACCAATAGGGAAAACTAGGATTTGAGCCACAACATAGCCAATTGAGAGAGGGCTAAAGAAAGTCAATAAAACTTGCTTGCACACTGTTGGCGGAAGAAGGGACATACATATCGAAGACCGAAAAACTGATTGACCCCGGAGAATAGTATGACAAATATCGTCATTAATATCCAGGCACGGACAGCTGTGATTCTTGTTAAACTACGTCATCTCATGAATGGGGGAGAGCATACTGTTACAAGCGAGAGTAGGATCATCTTTGTTAGATACACAAGCCGCAACTTCTGGAACTGTGAGGTATAAGCATAAGCCCCAACCATATTGTGTAGAATTGAACTTACACGGTGACTGATCCCCCTCTACACTCCATTTGAATGCTTCAACTGGTGTGAGCTCTGTTCTGTCCGATCGATACAAGAGGTCGCCTGGATCCTGGTGGGTGTTCTCTGCTTCCAGGTCCGAGGTGTGAGTCTCCAATACATCTGGGTCCTTGATGGGATTTTTGGAAGCTGCCATGTCGCAAATTAGGTACAGATGCCAGATACGGCTAATTCAGACAGGTTCCCAGGCACGAAAAGATGGACGAGGCCGCGTCCTGCCCATTTTCTTATATGGCCCAAGCCAAGTCTGTGCAATACTCACGATAGATCCACCCAATATGACAACATGACATCCCGCAGAGACTAGCTCTGACGCGTTATAGTTTTAGTCCCGGGGATTTGGTACTAAGTAGTAACGCTGGCCAAGGACTATGAAAGATGGCTATCGTATCCACTGGACCAGATAACAAATCGAACGTTTAGCTGCAGAGAGCGCTACAGGTGTTTCATTACAATGGGTCTCAAGACGTACTTTTTACAGCATTTGATTGCGCCATACAGGTCGGAATTGAACCAGTGGAGTATCAATTAAACGTCATATAGCCCCGAGAGAACGAACATCTGAAAATTTGTTCGATATCCCACATCAGACAACCCGAGATATCAAGCTTCACCAAGGCGAGTGGCTTATATGCGCTGTAAATCTGTAAGTTGCTGTCTAGATCATTCCATGCTAAATATATTGAGAGGAGTATCTTCGGGCTAATCCCGGCATAAAAACAACAGATAACGTTAGTTTTAAAATCACCAATGACGTGCTAAGGTGGCTTCCTTAGCTTATCTCTTTATGCATAAGTCTCCTTAGTTGAAAAGCTATATCGGAATTGTATTTGCGCGTGTCCGTAGGCTTTTCCCCCTGGTGACGGGATCGTTATTGGGATTAGGCGTTTGCTCAGACTTAATGATTTATGTCAAAGATGGCTACAATATGCAGAACCAAAATCAAAGGCAAAATTTGTGGTACAACTATATCGATCATTTGCCAATATCCCAGCAACCAGTAACTCTCGAACATGTAGGCCTAATTCTTGAGAAGTTTTACAAACGCATTAGATTGCTTCCATAGAATTATTGAATTAATGGGCGAAGAAGCATCTCCGTTTTGACGTCCGCCCTTTTGGCCACCCCGCAATTTATAGTCAAAGGAATGTATTCATATTGACTCTTTTACCAGACTCTGATCAAAATTTTAAAGCAAACAAGGTGCTGCAGTAATCCCGGAGCATTCTACTTACTTAGTATATATCTAACATTAGTAATAAGATCGTAGACTTATTCAAACTATAGGAAGTACGGGTGTATACAAATCTGATCAACCAAATCAGTACGCGATATGGAAATCCGCCAAAACGTTAGTTCTACAGAGCCGCATCTAATTCACTCCGCGCATTCCACCAATTTGCTTCGCTGCAAAAGACCTTTGGGCATATCCAAAAGTGTTCTTGTGGAACTGTATGTGCGGCGTTAGCGTATACCTTTTGGACTTCAGCGCATAAATCTCTAGATATTGATGTGCTATATGGTTTCCGTCTTAATGCTACCTCGGAACAATCTTTTCGTTTTTGTCAGTAAGGAACTCTAAGTATCACTTTGTCTATGAATGTCCTTGGGTGAAGATTATAGGTTATAGTATGAGGGCTGGAAAATGCCATGAAGTAGCTTCCTGAATTTGATCATCTTCATAGTGTCCCTTGGTTTAACCTTTATTGAACCCCGTGAGGATAGTATCAGGCTAAATTATCTGTCCTCTACCTTGTTAGAATATTCTCCTTTGTCCCTTTAGGAGAAATTGTTTCAGACCTACTACGGGGAGGTTTTTTTGAATTTATGTAATGCTACCATAGAAAAGCCCCAGGGCTATATGGTTAAACACACAAGCTTATCTCATCGAATGGTGCTATGGTCTAGTGGTATGACGTCACATTGTGGCTGTGATAGCCCCGGTTCGATTCCGGGTAGCGCCAATATCTTTTTTTATTTTGGGTATGTCTGTGTACAAAATGTTCTTTTAACGCTCAGTATACCGGCGTGGTCTTTTTCGATTCAAAATTTGGATTATCATCTGTTTCGATCGTAGGAGTCGATCGTTTCCAGGCATCTACAATGAGGTCTTAGGGTAGCTAATGCTTCGTAGACAACCAAGTGTTGTAGGCTGAGTAGGATAAATCTATAAATCTATGCTAAGTGTTTTTGATGGTAAAGACAATTAGACCCGGGGTGACTATTGAAGCAACCGTCGATTATGGAGCAAAGTTCGGGTATGTATTGAGCACTAGTAGCCATCGGAAAGCACTCCCACTGTTGTATTTTAGCACGATTTAAGATGCTATTTAGCTTGATAGCACTATCAGCTCGCTTATTATGTTTTTTTTTTAAAGGGGTGTTAGATAGTCTGCAATTATGCGAATCTACCTGCAATATATATTTTTGATACCGAACCCAACGTTTCTTATACCACACCCCTAGCCTATAAAGCTAGAACAATCCTACCTACCATTAACGGATCAAGCTACTCTCAATATATACATATATAACCATCACCTTTCTCAATGTTGTTCTCGTGGCCTCCTATTCATGGAAATTCTATACCCGCAGTATGTGATACGATAGCCACGGTAAACAGGATGGCCGCATTGAATGGTTCATTCATACCTCACTGTCAATTATCTTTCAAGCTTACTGACGTTTCATTGCCTATATTAGATTGATTCACCTTCAGTGATCAAGACGCATTGCTTTATCATTGCACAATGTCCTCATCCTCTAATATAGGTCAAATCCGGATACTCTTACTCCCTACCAAAACCACACCTCAAAAAACACCTACTTCAAAAACCAAAGACAGTGAGTCCCACATTTTCCTCTAACTTCAACAACAATACCTACCACATCCAGAACTCATACCAGTCAGAAAAGAGAAGACACAAAACAAACCTCCTCATTGGGGAAGTCAGCGAGCCCTCTAAGACGTGAGCAAACAGAGCAACCAACCCAAGAGTGACAGAAGAGCGAGCTAACAAAGATGCCTAAGTTTCCAGAGAAACCAAAGAACAATCAAAACATCCCAAGTCACGATGTGTCTTTTTGTCGGCACCTACTACTATACGTGCAGACACACATATTTCGAACTATACCTCTTCTGCGACGAGCTCCTGCGACAACTGAATCGCATCAACGACAAGGCTGAACATGAGAAATCCCTTCTACCCTTCGACGCTGATTACCCAGGATGTAATCCATACACCACCCTGACAGGGGCGATCCTGCAGCTGGATCCTGATGGGCGTCCTTATGAAGGACAGGATCAGAGTAACGTGGTCAGGTGGGTGATGGATATGTTGGGGTACTGCCCTGCGTGTAGTGGGGAGTGATGCGGGTGTAGAGTTGGGACAGGGAAGAAGATAGACAGTCTTAAGAAAGATCAAAGAAAGAATACACGGAGTAGTTATTGTGATTCAGTGACCGCGGGAACCGCGTTGACTGCATAAGAGTACGATAGTAGGTACTGGAATAATCACGCCTGCGCCCAATACAAATGACAAATGGTATAGAAATGTGGACAGAAACAGGATATGTCTAGAAAAAGTCTAGATTGTAAGTCCGAGAGACATATAATCATGACCGAGTGCTTCAGTGGGCACCGCCACATCCACAGTCATCCTCGGATCGCTTCTTGAAATGCCCGTGGTAGGAGTCCAGTCCCTCGGTGCGAACGCCCATGCCCAGGGGGTCACCCATCCAGTCATACGGATTCCAGATACCAGATTTGGTATCCCGGAGCATCTGCGTGACCTTGGCGACATCGAGATCTAGATATTCCGCGAGGAAAGAGCCGACGTCAGTGTTCTCGTTGTTGCCGACCAATGGCCAAGCGTCCTTGGAAGATGACGCATAGATGTTGACGTCGACAGCTGTAGCAAAATAAGTACGTGGTTATAGTTCACGATTGGGTATTAACTTACCGGAATGACCGTGGGTGCTCCAACCCACCTGAGCGCGACGGCTGACCATATCCGTAAACAGATCTTGTGGGCTGACTTGAGGCTCTGGATGGAGTAAGGCGTGCACTTCCTCGTCGGTGGCATCGGTGATGCCAAGACCCTCTTCAATGAGGTGTTTGCGGACCCAAGACTTTTTGTCCGATTCACTGGCATCCTTGCCTTCCCCAGCAAGATGGTCTTTCAGCTGGGTGTAGACATATTCACCCGAGTGGGTTGCTTTATCCAGAACCTCTGGAAGCCACTCGTACTCGGGGTAGGCCTTGGTCAGCTGTCGTGCCGCAGAGAGTCCACCAGTCTCGTGGTCGGATGTGCTCACGACGACGGTAGGAGTAGACTCATTCTGTACGAAGTCAAGCACAGCAGCGAAGGCCTTGTCATAGGCCAAGACCTCATGCACCTGGGCAGCCGGGTCATTGTTGTGACCGGCATGATCGATGCGAGAGCCCTCAATCATGATAAAGAACCCTTGCTCGCTGTCCTCAGTGGCCTTGCTCAAGGCCCTCAAGGCAGTGCGGGACATTTCCTCTAGAGAGGGATACTTATCGTTCTGAGAACGGCGGTCAATCTCGAAGGGAATATCTCCGTGGGCGAAGAGACCTAGTAGCGGCAAACTGATGTCCTCGCCACCATTGAGGCTATCAAATGCAGAACGGTTCTGAATTGTAGTGAACCCATTCTCCGAGGCAAGATCAATCAGATCGCGATCGTCACCTCGGCAGCTTCCCTCCGCGGACTTGGGCAGGAAGTGACAACGTCCACCACCAAGCATAAGATCCACCACCCGGCCGAGAGGGTGCTCTCCGACCTCCTGAACGGCAATGAGATCTTCATACTGCCGCAAATTAGCATGAGAGGCAAAACATGCCGGAGTTGCATCAGTAAGCCGGGTCGTTACAACCAGGCCCGTCTTGTAGCCTGCCAGCGCAGCAGCCTCAAGAACGGTTCCACACGGCGAGTGGTCGGGAAGCACCGAAATAGCACCGTTATAACTCTTGAGACCACAAGAGAATGCAGTAGCCCCAGCGGCCGAGTCCGTGACCAAACTAGAGGTCGACCGTGTCCGTGATGTTCCAATGTGGTGCTTATCCAAGAGCAGAGTGTCGTCAACCGGTAGACCATCACGATATTGCCGGAAGGAACGAGTCAGAGATAGACTCGTAGGACCCATGCCATCAGAAACCATAAAGATAACATTGCGCTTGCCCGTTGGCTTTCCTCCGGGTCCCCAGGTCGTATTCTTCGACTGCTCGTGATGAGGGGTCTCGACCGCCTTGTGCTGATAGACCGCCGACAGAACAATGACCAAAACTGTGGCAATCAAAGCCCAAGCAAAGATTCCGATCTCGCGCCATGAAGCCCAAGTCCGTCGTTCGTTATGGCGAGTGATTTGTTGTCCGGTCAGGAGGGCTTCTTCTTCCTCCTCATTTTGGATCGACGATCGGTCGGAGGACGGGCGTTGAGCCAGAAGAGGCTCTTCCCGCGCCATGGCTGCGGTAGAGACAAAATCAGTTTAAATAGGGCGGGATAGTCGAATTCAGTAGTTAATGCAACCCAGAAAAAGCGACCGGGCAGGGATACGCGAGGTCAAGATCACTAACAGCCCAGGTGGACCCTTAAAGAGATGATAAGATACAATAGCCGTGCTCACATGATACGTCACATTCCTGCATTACGAGGTTACAGTCTACGTGTTTAAGCAGGAAACAACCTATATAATTATGAGGGGAATTTGTATGTTTGTGTACTACCTGGAGTATTCAAATGGCTCTATTATACAATTCATCTGCAAAAGAAAACTAGTGACCTCCCTATGATCTGCCTTTCCACCCAATAGGAATCATGGCAGCAGCAATCTCAGTAACACCACGCTCCGTAGCAAGCAGATTGAACTGAGCAGCCGCATTGCGGGTATCCAGAATATCGACCCGAATGCCCAACGAATTGATGTGGCGTTTAGTTTCAGGCGAGAGGGGGAACATCGAAGCACCAAGACCAAGAATGAGCATATCTATCAAAATCAATGTTAGCAAAATGATAGATTTCACTACGCCATAATCCAACACTGTAGACAAGAGGACAACAGCGCGATAACACCATAGGAACCCAAGAAAAAAACATACCAGGCTTCGGCCAAACAACACTCAATACCCCCAAACAGACTCATCAAGCTCAAACTGCCCCTTAGCATTGATCATGTTATCCTTAGCATCGCGATCATCCTTCGCGCCCTCTACCGCCTTCCACGGCCTCCAGGCAAACGCCTCACCACCAACAAGCAGCAATCCATCACCACCAGTGACCTTGACACCATTGTTAAGGTGGAAGCCAGAGTCAAGGGTGGCATCGATAGCTGTTGTAGGCGCAGGGATGTTACCCAAGACGTTCAGCGCGGCAAAGTCCGTCTGCGTGTCTTCGTTGGACTGTGGGCCGCGGTCGTGGCTGACGGGCTTGTGCGCGTGTGCGCGGGAGACCATGCGGGATGGGCGGATGGTGGAGCTGTTGTTACGTCTGGTTGAGGGGAGTTGGTGGCTCGGTTTTGGGATTGCGCATTTCGAGGCTGTTGATGGGATTCGGATGAATCGGGCTGGGGTGCTGGTGAGCGAGGTGCGGAGGGCGCGGAGGAGTTGTGGGGATGGGGAGTGCATTTTGGATGAGTTCGTTGATCGAAAGGCGGTGTTGGATCTTATAGATGACGGACTCGTGGTGTAGTAGCTCGGGTGGGTGTCGTGGTGAGTTGAAGTAAAGCTTTCAATCCCCCAGGTCTTGGCGAACTGCACCAGTGGGACCGCCGTACAATTGAAAGTCGGGACCGTACTATACACTCGCCTACGTAAATATCTCAGATTGAATTGTTCTTATATTAATATTCAGCGTAGCAATTAATCTAATTTTGGATTTTTGCAGGAGTTCCAACCCTGACCCTCTGCACCCCGGGTTCATATGAAACAAGGACAAGGGAAGACAATGACATCGTACCTATCGTAGACCCAAAACGCCAACACGCAGAAAATGAAGGAAGAAAAAAAAAACAAAACATAAACCCAGCGAAGGAAAGAACCGAAAAAGGAAGAGAAACGAAAAACATGCAAGGCAATCATCTCTCGAAAATGGGGATCGCTCCCCTGATTTCATGCCGTCTCCGATCATTAGTGCCTCTGGGGACTTGTCTTGAAAAAGAATATGAAAAGTGTATGCACAGAGTGAGAGATAAACAAGAGAGTCTGGGCTAGATTAGCTGGTGCAGACAGTGCGGATTCAGTTTGTTCGGCGAACGCCTTTGCGATCTTCGTCCGATTGACTCGAGCTATCGTCGCTGGTAGTTGCTGTACGAATTCGCTCGGCTCGGTCATGGAGAACCTGTGCCTCTGCTGCGGCCTTTTGGGCGCGAATTTGCTTCCGCCACATGCTGGCGTAGCGGCCCTTCATGGCTAGAAGCTCTTCGTGGGTGCCACTCTCGGCTACCTGGCCCTCGGACAGAACCAAGATGCGGTCTGCCGTAGTGATAGTGCTGAGACGGTGAGCGATCACTAACATAGTGCGTCCCTGTGACAGTGTGGAAAGTGCCCTTTGAATATGCTCCTCTGTGTCAGTGTCTAGGGCTGCAGTAGCCTCATCTAAGAGAATGACACGAGGATTCTTAAGGATAGTGCGAGCAATTGCGACACGCTGCTTCTCGCCACCGCTAAGTCTTAGACCACGCTCTCCGACCTTGGTATTATATCCATCGGGGAAAGCCAAGATCTTGTCATGGATGCTAGCGGCGCGACAGGCCTCGTAAACGTCTTCATCAGAAGCATCCTGGTTAGCGTACTTCAGGTTGTACATCAATGTTTCATTGAAAAGTACAGTATCCTGAGGCACTACACCAATGTGCCTGCGGAGTGAATCGATCGTAATATCTTGCACATCATGCCCGTCAATGCGGATACGGCCATTCTGGGAGTTGTAGAATCGAAACAAGAGACGGAATACGGTGGATTTGCCTCCGCCAGACTCGCCAACCAAGGCAGTGGTTGTTCCAGGCTGACAGTGGAAGGTAAGACCATTCAATGCCGGCTTCCGTGCATCATAAGCAAACTCCACATTCTCAAACTTGATATCACCTTTGCACATCGCCAATGGGGTAGCACTGGGACTATCGACCACAGTAGGCTGCTCACGGAAAAGTTCAAGGAGACGCTCGGCATTGATCAGTGCGGACTGAATAGAACGATAGAAGGTACCAAAGAAGTTCAGGGGGCCTTGAAGTTGAACCATATAGGTCAATAGGGCCACGAATTTGCCCACAGGACGCTGACCAGTAGATACTTGGAATGCGCAGATGAAGCACATAACCAACAGGCCCATCATAAACACGGTGTTTTGACAAGTGTTCAGCAGCGTCAGGGAGAACAAGACGTGATATTCAGCCTTTTGGAAATCACCCACAGCGCCCCGATACCTGTTGAACTCATAATTTTCGGCGTTGAAGTATTTCACTGTCTCATATGAGACCATCGAGTCATTCCTAGAGTGAATGTTAGCTCCATGCATTGGATATCTGATATCTATGGTGTAGTTCTCACTTGACAGCGTCTTCTTGTCGAGATGCGTTGACCATCTGTCTTCTGATTTCTGCTCTCCATTGAGCCATTCGGATGGTGACATAGAGATAGCCAAATGTGGAAATTCCGACGGCCAGAGCATAGTATGCATCGAATGCAACTAGGAAGAATGCAATCGCAACCACAAGATCAACGAGCATCGGTACCACCTGGAAAGTGACCTGCTCCAGGAAAGTGTTGATCGAGCTACCCTTGCTGAGAGCAGACAAGACTTCACCAGTCTTCTTTCCCAGATGGAATTCTAGGCTGAGACCGTGGACATGTTCGAACGCAGCTGTGGAGAGCTCCATGTAGGAATACTGGCTCACGGGGATCCAGAGGCTGGAGCGTAGAGAGCTGAGCAAACCCTGGTTACCCTGCAACCAGCGGTAGATCACATAAAGACAGATTTGAAGCCACGGCACTTGGAATTCCTCACCGTCGTCCCTGGTGAGGGAATCGGTAATGACGCTGACTTGATAAGGCACCAGAACGTTGACAATGCGCTGGCCGACGAGGAGCACAAAACAGAACATCACCACCAGCTGCAGGCGGCGAGACTTGGAGGGCCACAGGTATGGGAAAAAGAGTGAGTATCCACTCAGATACTCCCACCAACTGGTAGAGGGGATCGTAGTAGGACGCACCCATGGATCCTGAGGTTTGGCGGCCTGGGAGGGAGGGCCTCCGTTTGTTGAACCATATGTATGACCGTTGCCATTGGCTGTTCCATTACCATTCCCGTGTCCATTCTCCGTAGCAGCGGGATCCAGGAGTCCAGTAGATTCAGACACTCCATTGGCATAAGCTGCCTTCTTCTCATGGCTCTTCATCCTCATCGACTGGCAGACGTAGAGAAGAACCAGCGAGAAGAGTACCAGGATGCGGACACTGTTCGATACCACCTCCATGCATTCCCACGGTGTAATGCTCTTGCGGAGCCGGCCCCCTCCGGATCTCCAACAACTGGCTCATGATGAACCGAGGTATACACCGACAGGGATGTGCTAAGAATAACCAATTCAAGCGGGATGGCGACGGACCAGCAGACAAATTGGGCGATGGTCGGGGAAGGAGAGGTGTCCAGCAATGCCATGAGCATCACCGCGTAGACGAAGAACGAGCCGACGATGTAGATCTATAAGCTGGTCAGCTATCGACCACGGAAAAAAATAACCCGAGAAAACATACCACAACCGATTGTCCTCGCCACCAATTCTCTGCCCTGGCCACCATAACGTGGGTGATATAGATAGTTGCATCGGCAATGAATGTGAGGAGAATGCCAACAGAAAGCAAGTTGAAAGCGCGTTTCACGTTTCGAGAGAACTCCTGTGGTTTGTGGTAGGCGGGCACAGCCCGTGGACGCTGAGGCAGTGGCCGGCCACCAGGTCCCAAGGACTCAGACGCATGCTTGTTGGCTCTCTTCGCGGTGACCGTGGTATTTGCCACAAACGCCGCCACGAAGAGGATGAAGAGAAAGATAGGGTAGCACGTGCGCAGGTACTCCAGCAGCTCAAGAGCTGCGTGGGGATCCATGATGAAGACTTCAAAGGTCCATGACAGGTTGTGGAAGGGAGAAGAGTTCGGATCGGAAAGGACTGGACGGGTATGGTGAAGGATCGACGCGAGGGATGGGAACTTCACCTAACCGGTTTCCACGTGGTAACCCTTGGAGTTAAAGAAGCAAAAATAAGAATAATAAATAAAAAAACAGATAAAAAAGGGAAAATAAAGAAAGGGAAAAATAAAAGTGTCAAGTCTTTTAAAGGGAAGAATCAAAAACAAATCGAGGTAGATATACACAGAATTAGAGAAGTACGGTGTGGATGCTGCAGCTAAGAAGAAGGTATCCACACATAGTTAGGGACTCCCCAAGCTTCTTATGTCGAAAGTTGCCCAGGATATTGTTTGCTAATAAAGTCCAAACCTCAATCTAAGTTCTTCACAGAGCTGCCCAATGGTCGGAGTTGAAATCGTCCCAACTGCACAGGGAAGAAGGGGATGAAGGGACAAGTGTCGATCTATCGATCGAGAACAGTCCATATATGACTTCACACGACTATATCATCTGAGGTATACGGAGTCACTTTGGGACAGATCATAAGATACAGGGATTTCAGCCTAGCGGTGTTTGATCTATGAATATCCATGTGCTTTCTTGTCCCACAGAAGTCCCGAGTCCCCGGTCGAGGTAAGACAATCCTCGTTCTGTTCTGTGTTGTCTATCTAGACCGCTCTTAACATGTGTTTCGGCCCGATGAAGTATACAATGCATCTTTCTTGCAGACCGTTTGAAAATCTAGAATTTGAGTGGAGGAAATACGAAGTACAACAACCTGAATGGCGCCTTATAAAATGTCTATATAACTATGATGTGGTAGAAGTGAGGCATATGAGGCATGGGTGCCTCAGGGATCGTCTCTCACCGCCGCCCCATATTGACGATCTTCAACTCTCCGCTTCTTCCCTGGTCGTGTGCCCAGAATGGAGACCTGACTGCTGAATGATGTCGGACCTCTCAGGTTCGCGTTCTCCGGTCCCTCCCCCTCCTCCCCCTCCGCCACAAAAGTACTCGAACCGGGCTGCCAGTGCCCTTGCGAGGTTCGCGCCCTTCTTCGGCTCGAGGCCTCCCAGTCCACAAAGCAGTCGCGCAGATGGCCCCCGATCAATCAGATCCAAATCGCTGTATGTCGCTCTCACCGCTCTGATATTCCCTGTCTTCTACTACACAAACCCCTTCCCCCGCGATTTGATGTCATCGGGACTAGTGAGATCGCGAGTCAGATCAGCCAATGGAATCATTTCTAATGCTCGTTTGTGAAGACCAGGAGAACCGCAGACTGTTACTCATAAAACAGGGATAGCTATCACGGCTTTGGACATATCGCCTGAACGGACACATGCGGTAATCGCGGGCAAGGAGATTCTCAAAACTATCCGCGTCTCGCCCGACCACTCCTCGGAAGAATTTAATATTCGAAATGCGCTCATCAGCTATGCATCCACCCATCATGAAGCGGGTGTTTCGATGCCACACAAAGATCAATTGAATGTGAAGGACGTCAAATGGTCACATGGGAACTTCGACCGGACAATCGCAACTGCAGTCGCAAATGGTCGGATTGTCGTCTACGACCTGCAGCGGCCCGGCCTCCAATTATGTCGTTTCCAAGGCCACAACCGCCAGGTTCATAGGCTCGCCTTCAACCCCCATTTCCCTTCTTGGCTCTTGTCTGGCAGTCAAGATGGCACTATTCGGATGTGGGATCTGCGCGCCGCCTCTGCGAATCGGAGCAGTTCCACATGCGGCAGCAAGCATGTGTATCAGGGCAATAGCGATACCATCCGGGATGTCCGGTGGTCTCCCAGTGATGGGGTCGTGTTTGCGACCGCCTCGGACAGCGGCGCCATCCAGATGTGGGATTATCGCAAGGGCAATGCACCGTTGATGAGAATCGCCGCTCACGATCGGCCATGTTTCGCCGTGGACTGGCACCCCGACGGGAAGCACATCGTCAGTGGTGGCACAGACCGCCAGGTAAAAGTTTGGGACTTCTCTTCATCTGCAGAGCGACGGCAGAAACCTGCGTTTCAGTTCCGAACACCCCAGGCGGTTATCAATGTGCGATGGCGGCCTCCCTCCTGGGTCGGTGAGTCACCTGCCTCGGGAGAATGGCAATCATCTCAAATCGTCACGTCCTACGATAAGGAAGATCCGCGCCTTCACCTTTGGGACCTTCGACGCCCGCATGTCCCATTCCGCGAATTTGATCGGTACGACTCCCCCGCATCAGACCTGCTGTGGCGATCAAAAGACCTCCTGTGGACTGTCGGTGAGGCCGGAGCCTTTACACAGACCGATGTACGGTATGCGCCAGCCGTGATCAATCGCCGACCGATGTGCTCGGTCGCCTGGAGTCCTAATGGCGAGTTCGTTGCGTTTGGCCAGAAGCGGCCCAGGCGACGTCCCTTGGGAATAAATGCCGCTGAATTTCTACTCCATGAAGAAGATGAGGATAGTACCGGTGAGAAATCATTGGGTCAAAGTCCCGCAGATGATATTATCGACGAAGCAGCTTTAGCTACTTCTCTTCGTCATCAGCATACAAAATCAGCCCCGATTCGACCATCCAAGTCGCTGGGCAGTACCCCACCTGGGGCAGTGGATTTCATTTCGGTGCTGCCTCTTGAACAAGCCCTGGCCAAGATAGCGACCCCTGCGCCCAGTCAGTTGGGAACCATTGCCACTATCCCAGGTGCTACGAATGACCCAGTAGTCTTCCGGTTTCTAGCAAGCAACTACACCCCGTTGATGGACGATTACCGTGAAACGAGGACCCAGGCTGATATTCTGCACTCTTTGATCGAGTCCTTGGATCACAATGCTGAGTGTGCAGATGAGGTTTCGCTGACCAAGGTGGCCCAGACTTGGAGAATAGTCAAATTTGCTATTCTTCAGGAGCTCCAGCGCCGAGCAAGAGAGCAACCGGCCAAAGGTGGTCTTAGGGACAGAACATCTAAAGATGGTACCTTGGCAGACAGGTCGCGCGAAGATGGTCGACACGACAGGGCCAAAAATCGATTGTTTAAAGGGGTCATGGAAGCAGTACCCGAGGTTGAAAGCACCTCGAACATGACGACCCCTCTTGCAAAACCATTGCCAGATTCCCCGGCAATGGACTCCTGGTCTAGCACTGATGATTCTCATATACCCTCACTAGATGATAGGGCTCTCGACATTGATCCTCTACCCCCATCGGTCCTGAGTTCTCACAATGGCTGGGGAATGTCAGACCCTGACGCTCGTCATGTATCCAATCCACATGTGCAAGTATCATCCATTGATGATGCCCGTCTATCAGAGCACCTACGAAATCCGGCACATGAAGATTTGGACAATGACCAACGGTCTGCACCTCGGGCTATTGCTGGCAAAGCAGATTGGCGCCGTCATGGTCACCCAAGCTTCCCCAGGGAAATCTCAGAAGATGACTATGACCAAGAGCTGGAGGACAAACGTGCAGCCATTCGTGATTTCAGGCAATACCCTAAAAAGCCCTTGAATCTCGAGTCAACAATTGAATCTAGTCGGCCTCCCCCAACCGAGCGATATGGCCGGCACGACTCTTCAGAGAGTTTTCCCATGTTCTCTACATCAACAGACAGCTCGCATCCATCGAGATCTTTCGCTGCATCGTACTCGTCCAATGGGCAGCTTGATGTATCCAGATTGCCGGACGCTGGCCAATCCTCTACGATGAGAAGAGGATCGAATCTAGCTTCAACGCGTGAGGAATCCGACGATGAGCTTTTCGAACAAGTTGATTCAGACACGGGTCGACTGCATCTCCAGCGCCCTTCCAGTCCTCCTCCTTTGATCAAGGAGTCCACCCCGCTTGTGCCACTGGAAGAAACATTATCCCCAGGCGACACAAATTACAGGGGTACGGCGCCTTATTCAGCAAATGACGATATTTCACGGATAAAGATTCCACTTATGCCGGATGGGACAGATTTGAAGCCGTGGAGTATTGAAGCGATCCTGAAAGAAGCAGTTCGTTATTATCACAGCAGCAGTAGTTCCGTTGATATTCAGACAGCGGCCCATCTTCTTCAGAAGCTCCACGTTCTTTTCCGCGACTGCGAGCAAATCTTGCCATACGAAGAATGTGAAATGGTCTTCAAAACATACAACGAGCACCTAATCCGGCACTCGATGGACTTGGAGGCAGCAGAGCTCCGTCTGTCGTGTGTATCATCCTATCCTGCCGTTTACGACTACGCGCAGACAGACTCCTTTATAAATGTATATTGTTACACCTGTCAACGGCCCTTTGAGAACCCCAAGCAAGACAACACCCGCTGCTATCGCTGCAGTACACCCCAAGCGCCCTGCTCCATTTGCATGTGCCTTGAACCACCACCAGAATGGGCCACAGAGCGAAAACAAGCACAACCCACCTCCTCCACCATCACAAGCCCGAACTCAGACTCTGAAACGACCTCCCACACCTCAACCCAATCCTCCGTCCCCACCGAGCCGGTCTCAGATTCGGAAATGGATAATTTCGCACCCTTCTCAGCGCCCCGACCAAAGGGCTCCGCAGTCTGGACCTGGTGTCAAGGCTGCGGCCACGGCGGCCACCTAGCCTGCATAACAACCTGGCTAGGCGACATAACCATCAGCGAAGGCGGATGCGCCACAGCAGGCTGCATGCACGACTGCGGCCCAGGTCCACGCCGCGAACTAAATCGTCAAACTCTCCAGGCAGAGTCCAAGCGCCGCGATTCTGCGAGTCGCTCTGCCGGTGCTGGCCTCGTCAAGCGGGATCCTTGGACCAAGGGCGAAAGTAAAGCCGTGGAGAAGGTTCGCGGTATGCTTGGCGTTGCTGGTGTTGCTGCTGCTACTGGTGGTAGTGGTGCTGGACCTGTCACGTCGACGAATACTACTGCTACTCCGACGCCCGTTTCATCGGGTGCTATGTCGCCCAAGCGGGTTAGGCTTGTTACGCCCACTGAGCAGGAGCAGGAGTATGGCGCTTCTGCTCGTGTGGGCATTACTTCGAGGGAATAGTCTAGTTATCGTGACCCGTGCCCGGTCGGTTACCCCATTTATGTGTTGTACTCATATTAGCGTATTGTTTCTTTTCTTCTCTTTTTTCTTTTCCTTTTTTTCTTCTGGGTCATTGGCCGGCTCTCTGTTTTATTCCGAATTGATTCCCCTATTGCGATACATCTAATAAATTACTGGTCTGACTAGATGGACCTTATAAACTTCTTCGTGACTGAATAAGTTAAGTACATGGAGTCACAAACTTTAGACTTAGTGAACCCATCATGGTACCTCCCAGAATGACGTCCAAGATCAGAAGACTGACCCGAGTAATCAAGGTATTCCCCCGAGATCATGCCCCCAGAATTAAAACCTCCGCTTTTTCTTGGCTGGGGCTTTGCTCTTCGTCTCAAGCTGCCGTTTCAATTCCTCGCGTTTCCGAGAAGCTCGCTGATCTTCTGTCTCTGGTCCTGGTGGAGGATTGGTGCTACCTTTCTCGGCGACTGGTTTGCGTAATGGTGATTCTTCCCGCTTCATAGTCTGCCGAGCTGTCGTCTCGGTAGTATTATCACCCTGGGCGGGTTTGGGTTTGGCGGGAGATGTCTTCTCAGGTGAGGCAACCACGGTTTGGGATGTAGCTGGAGGAGTCGTGTCTAGGGGTGTTTGTCTGGCTTTGGCTTTACCGCCTATCATGCCCAGCTTTCCGGTGCGGTTTGGTTTGGCTATTGCTGGCGACGGTGCTAAGGATGTTGGACGAACTCGGTCATCGCTTCCTTCTTCTTTCGGTGAATTTGGTTGTTCCTTGGGCTTCAGCGGAGAAGGGGCTGGCTCTTTCTCTTTTTTTTCTTGCCACCAATAACACCCAACCCGCCTCTTGGCTTCTTTGGGGCTTCCCGGGCCTTGGGTGGAGGTGAAGCTGGAGCAGCAGGCTCAGACTCAGGCTCAGCTGGACTAATTGGCATACGGCCTTTGCGTGGTGCTGGTGCTGGCTCAGGGTCGGTGTCTGATGCTGTAGCTTCGTCTGCTTCTGACGGACCTGGTGGAGATGGGCTTTTCTTTTTGGCTTTTGGTCTTGGTGAGGGAACGGATTCTTTGACATGTTGGTGCTTAAGATGGGGAGGTGTTTCTTGTCGCTATATAATAGATTTAATCATACTGTTAGAAGGACTATAGGTGAGGTTCGGCATACCTCAAATTCATCGAGATCGCTGCTTGCCGTTGATTCGCCTTCCTCATCATGAGGTTGTGGCTGGACAGCTCTATTCTGCTTCTTTGGAGTTGCAGCGATTTCCTCTTCTTCGAGAGGAGTGGCTTCTCTCGTATGGTTCTGAGGGCGTTTTTGAAGTTGACGCCACCATTCACCGTGTTGATTAATGTTCTCCAAATCCTCGACATTGCCTGATTCTGAAATCTCCTGAAATAGGTTGATTCCAAATCCTGAGCTATTGGATGATCCTACTTCGGCGAGCCAGGCCTCCTCGTCGAAGGGCGCAATGCCTTTCACGAATCTGCCAGCTTCGGACCGGGTACTGCCTTTGCGAGATGTACGTAATCCTGCAGCGCTCGGAAACACAGACCCCAGCTCAGTGCCAAGGGTTTCAATTTTGTCAAACAACTTGCCCAGCACGTAGTCTTTCTGCTTGATCTGATTGAGCAGAGAGCGCTGGCGCGACTCCCTATCTGCCTCCTCTTTCAGCAGTGGAATGAGTAGACGACTCGTCGCAGAGGACAAGGGCTCCTTTGAAAGCTTCAAAGTCCATCTTAGAGGCCTCAACGGGGCCGGTAGCTTGGTTGTTGTTGTGATTTCAAGCGAGGCGGTTTGCGTTCCACTGCTTAGCACTGTACTTTCTTTGCCCCTCTGTAGAGCTTCCCAAATCTTCTCCAAGAGGACCTTGAGCTGTTCTGGATCTTCTCCGGGGTCGATCGTTGCGGCCTCTTCCTCTGCTCTTTTGGCAATGTCCTCATAGAACAACCGTTCCGCCCAAACATAGGTGAGATCGGTGATGTAGATTTCATAGCCTTGTTGAGTCCAGGTATATTGAAAGAGCAACGGAGGCAGGCCTTCATGAGACAGATGAAGCCGGTGCCATGTTGAAGGCATAGTTGAGAGTGGTTGTGCATTTGTCCATGGGGGAAGTTGTCATAGCTGCCTGGGCCGCAGGGAAGGTTTGCCGCCCGCGTTACTTTCCTGCAGATCTCCCGAATTTCTGACCTCGCGCATCCAAGTGCTTCATCTTTGCTACCTTTGATCCTTTCACAGCACAATGTCTTCGCGACTCCCGGACCGATCAGATTCGAGGCGCAGCCGGTCGCGATCGCCGTCATCGCGCCGCCAGCAGAATCATCCCCGCCGGGACGATAGAGAATGGCGCGATCGACAAGACTCTGATCGCAGATGGGATAATGGAAGACCCGGTCCCTCTCAGCAGCCTCGCAATATGCGCGACCAAGTCCGGCTCAACCTTCTCCAGGAAGATCAGCAAGTGCGCGAGTGGGTCGCGCAGGAGGATGTGTTCGTGCTGAAGCAGGCGAAGAAGAAAGCAGAGATCCGAGTCAAAGAAGGCCGCGCAAAGCCTATCGACTGGCTTACGGTCACTCTCCGTGTTATCGATCCTACGCGCGACCCTTTGGACGATGAGATTGCAGACTCCGATTTGGATGTCGTGGATCCGGACGGTGTGTTCGAGGGTCTATCACAGACCCAGCTACAAGACCTGGAGAAGGATATTGATACATTTGTGAATCTTGAAACAAATGCGCAGAACCGCGACTTTTGGCAGGTAAAGTTTTTTCGAGATTCAGTTCAAGCATGCTGTTGACAACCGTTGTCCTCTAGACCATGAAAGTAATCTGCCGAGACCGTCAAAAAGACCTCCACACCCGAAGGACGTGCCCTAAGTTCTGTGGCTGCCGATATCAACAAGCTTTTGAGCCCGAAATCCTACGAACAATTAAAAAACCTTGAAGTACAAGTGAGGCGAAAGTTGAACTCGAACGAGCCAATCGATACAGACTACTGGGAAGAACTGCTCCGCAGTCTCACGGTTTGGAAGGCGAGGGCGAGACTGAGGAACGTCTACCAGACCATCATTGATGAGCGTGTTCGCGACTTGAAAAAGCAGCAGAGGGAGGAAGCTGAATCAATCCGGGCGAAATTGGCGCCTCTTGCTCCTGTCGTCATCGCAGGTGATACCACAAACCCTGCCGAGTTTGAAGGCTTGGACCCAGATCCATTGCTTCAAGTTCGTCCCGAGGATAAGGTCTTTGAAATCATGGATGAGTCCGCATTCCTGGACCAAGTGGTAAGTTGGCATGCATCATGTACTGTCGGAGCAAATGCTAATCAATTACACAGGCGCGCGAACGTCAGAAAATTCTCCGTATGGGCTTTGTCCCACTCCGTCAGCGAGCTACTGAAAAATCCGCGGTAGTGGGAAACCTAGCATCTACAAGCACGCCCGCGGCCTCTACATCAACCAGGTTCTCCTCCATCCCGAACGAGGACTTTTCACAAGCGACCAAAGCGCTCTACGAAAGGGAGCTAGCAAAGGGTGTCAGCGAGAATGAGGAAATATTCACTGGTGAAGAGGCCGTGAGTACGGTATCGCAACCCCAATGGGCTGGTAAGCATCGACCTAGAAAGCCCCGATACTTCAACCGAGTTCAAATGGGTTACGAATGGAACAAATACAACCAAACTCATTATGACCATGATAACCCGCCACCCAAGGTTGTACAGGGTTACAAGTTCAACATCTTCTACCCCGACTTGATCGATAAAACCAAGGCCCCAACATATCGCATCGAACGTGAGAACGGTCGGAAGCGCGGTGAATCGACGGCCGAGGCGGGCGAGGAAGACACATGTCTCATTCGATTTATGGCTGGACCACCGTACGAAGACATTGCTTTTCGAATTGTCGACAAAGAATGGGATTATAGTGCAAAGCGAGAGAGGGGCTTCAAGAGTACCTTCGACAAGGTAAGTTATGCCGTGCAACTCTCACGGTCTCTCCACTGACGTAATTTTCTTTGTAGGGTATTCTCCAACTTCATTTCCAATTCAAGAGGGTAAGTCGAATTCTGCTATTCAAGAAGATCCATCATTAACTTGTCTCAGATCTATTATCGGAAGTAACACATGCGCAACAACCTTGCAGGTGGGCGTTATTTCGGGATGGAGAGGTGGATTACTATGCAGGGAGACGTTGGGGGTGTATTTTCCAGATGCCTGATACCAGTGAATCAAGCCAACTCGGATTGATTGGGTTGGAAACATTACCCCCGAAGTTTTCATACTCGCTCGATACATTTGGGGATATCAAACGCTTGTTCCAACTACCTTAATTTTACCTCTGGCAATGCCACATCTCTCACACACTCAACCCCTTGACGTCTGGGGGGCCAACTGGTGTATTGGTGAATACCGCATTTAGCTCTTTTTCCTTTTTCTATTTCTTACTTTATTTTACTAGGGTGTTCTCTCGCAAAACGGGAGACGTTGGAGTCTTTTGGTGACACTATCCCGGCCTGCAGAGTGCAGGATGATTCTGACTTCCGGCTCGCTGGATGCAGCCCACGAACAGAAGTAAAAAGAGAAATAACGCCTGGGCTGGACAAAAATCAGGCAAAGCGGAGGTCTTTTCCAGAACGGCGCCAGAGGGATTTCCCAGTTAACTTCCAGAAGGTCGGCTTTCAGCCCGGTGAATGACTTTCACTGCAGGTGTCCGCTAGGCCCTCTCTATTCCAGTGGCACTAGATCCAGTATGCAGCCACCTTGGCCTTCTGTGCAATCGTTGGCTGTATAGACAATGAATCGTTCCACGACTTAGGCATCTAGGGAGGCGTTTTCCGTAGGAAGTATTAGTAGCCCCATATTCTTTTGCAAGGGGAAAAAAAATCAAAAAACAAAAAACAAAAAAAAAAAAACAAAAGACTTCGGCCCAGAACGTCTTTTGTTTGTATTTGAATGCATCTCAAGGCTGTTTGCAGCTAAAAGAGCATGTGCCTTATGTGCTGGCAGGGGAAGATCGTGCTTGAGTGGCTTCTTGAAGTGTACAGCTCCAATCTTGAATGGTAACAGCTGGGGTATCACTTTATGATCTCTACTTCTACAGTACTCTTTACCCTTAGACCTAGATCTCTTCTCTTCCTCAACGCTTATTTCACCTTCATTCTCCTTTCCTTTCTTCTTCAACTCCTCACTTCCATCCCAGAGCATTATCAAAGTCCCTTAGGTGATGGATAACTCGATCTCATCTCTTCACTTCCACATGGCTCATTTGCCAATGGACCGAGCAAGCGTGCACACTCTCTCGGCACAGCAAAGTGAGACTTCTCCAGATTCTATCTATCAAATAAACTCTCTCCAATCTTACAACCCCGGTCATCAAGCCGAGCACTGGCCGAGATTTAGATCTCATCAGGCCAGGATCATGGCACCCCTTCACCAACCCTCCTGCCCTAATCCTTACGTTGTCGCCTCTGGCCAATACGAGCACAACGCGAATCATCCCCATCCCCATCGACACGGTCAAGCTGCTTACCTTGACTCTTTGTACACCTCTTCACTTCCCGACTCTACCATGGCTGTCCCATGCATGGGTTCGTTTACTATGGAAGGGAAGAGACAGCTTCCTCATGAAGTCCACTCAGATTGGACAGGAGTGCACTCGCCTGTCTTCAAAGGAGGTGAACTTTGCGAATTTCCGGCAAAGTTGCAGTCTGTTCACGCAGTGCATAACATTCCCCCATCGCCACTGTCGACGATCTCCTCTTACGAGTCACCAGAGTCTCTGGCACTCGCAAGTCCAACAATGACGGTCCAGACGGTGGATCAGCTTTCACCAGGCTCTAGTGAGGATGACAGAGAAGACCGACCTGGACCGACCCCATACTCTCAGTTGATTTTCCGGGCCCTAAAAGATGCCAAAGGCAACAAGCTCCCTCTCCAGGGAATTTACAACTGGTTCGAAAGGAACACGGACAAGGCCAAGAGTTCGGGTTCGAAAGGATGGCAAAACAGTATCCGGCATAATTTATCTATGAATGCAGTAGGTTCCCCGCTCTACACTTGATATCAGTATCAGTTTCACTTTTATGGCTGCTTCATTTCAACCCCTGCACCTTTGGCACAAGTACTAACAGTTTCATGTAGGGATTCGAGGCAGTCAAGGAGGAATTGGGCCCGGGCAAAAAGGCAGTCAACTTTTGGCGCCTGACACCTGAGGCAATTCTCCATGGTCATGTCCAATCCACCACTCGATACCGCAAGCAAGTGAGTGCACGAAAGGCACTTGGTGCAAATGCTCGTGCCGCTCAGCGCCAACGCACGGAGACCAAGGGTGGGAATCCCTCAGAGATGGTGAAAACACGCCATCCCAATACCGGTCATGACGAGCCCAATGAAATCTATCACCCCCCGCAAATGACCCTGCCTCCTTACCCTATGGATGGTCATTTCTCTCACCCGGACCCTCAAGTGATGCCATCCTACGTGCCACCCGCTCTCGCCCCGCCTATCGACAATGCATTGCAGAGATACGGTATGGAATCTGTGATCGGCTGTACAAACCTTTCACCAACCAACAATGGGTCTTTCTACGAATCCATGGGGGTTGCGCCGGACAATGAGGCGTTTACATTGAGACATGCGGCACATGCGGGCTGGTATGCACCACCGTCGGATCACAATATTGGGATGATGGCAGGATCCGATGTTCCGGCCGATCTCCACCATGGTGTGTAGCGGAGCCACACACACGCGCAGAAAGAAGGGGAAAAGGGGTGCTGGAAAGAGATTTGGTGGTGAAAAGGCCCGGCAGCTACGCTGACTTGCATAATTCGTTTTTAGCAATTTCCTTTTTTGTGGTTTTCTCGTTTTTCCTAGCCGAGGCCAATTTTGGCCTTCAAATACACTAGAGGCATGGTGCAGTTTTTGTGCATATCACTACTCGGATCGGGAAGTGTCTTTGCGGGTGTTCACACGGCGAGCCTACGGTGAAGACGATCTATCTTTTGCCTCTTTGCCTCGTTATTGCTTGGCTTTTTGCTTTTTCTCTTGGGGGCTTCTGACATGAGGATATGGATGTTTTCTTTTGATTATTTTTGGGGGGGGG